ACGGATTTAACCATTTGGTGTCTGTAATGGAGAAACGTTGTGTTTTATTTTAGGTAAGAATTGAATATGTAAATATTATTTAGACAAGCTTCATGCTTATTCCTGCCTCATTGAAGATAATATTGGCCATTAAGATGAATGTATTTACTATCGAACCTAGTTCACATTTTCGCCGTAGGTATCCGCTAAGTAAGAGGATTTCAGTTCAGTAGTGACTACTCAAGATAAGTTAACACTGAGAATGTCTGCTAAATCGGTTGAAGCAAATTAAATTAGACGTGATAAAATAGTAGTATGTCCGACTGTATGAACCTTTGATAGTACCTCGGCACGAGGCCACAGAAGCTCACGTGTCTGTGCCCTAGACGTGGTTAGTGATTATCTGTACTCATTAATGTCCATGACGAGGTTGCGTTGGCATCGAGTTCTGTGGTGTGGTGAAGGTGAACACAACAGTTAAAATAAAAATGTACGTTCTGTCCGCTCGACTCAACAACATTAAAATATCTGTAAATCGACAGAAAGATGTGAATAAATTCCTCCGTGGCGGACGGTAAAGAATTCATCAGCTTGTTTGCTGGCGCGAGTGGTGCTTTGTTTCTCGTTCTGCCGATCACATTGAACGCGCGGTGTATGGGCCTGCACAGATACCGGGCCGCGGATTGCAATTTCGCTCGGCGAATAGATGTACGCGTTTTTGTGTATAATTTTGTGTCGGAATAGACTTTGCTGTGGACCAAGGAAGTACTTACATCTGACGACGTGTTTTTAGTAGAATGTAGTGTCTGGATTTCATTTGATGTTATAATAATTTTTGCTGTACATTTTTAATCGATTTAGACTCAGTGAAACTGAAAGCTGTATTCGTGTTAGATGTTATTACTGAATTTCCTACATCCACGTAATATTTCCTCATATGCCCTCAGTACGACGCCTTATCTTCGCAGAAATATTTTATGAAACACTTTGTTTCATTCTTCAGTCGGTCTCTCAGCGCTTCTTAGTTTACGCCTGCAACAGTATGTTTAGATAGCACGCAGTACAGTCGTGGCGGAGAAGTTTCCGCATCGGACAGGCGTTACTTCATTTCCTCTGTGATTAATCTGAATATCTGCCAGACTGGTGCATAGCGTAGACGTAATTATGGTGAAATATTGGCCAGTACAAGCTGCAGTCCCAGTAATTTATAAGCGTATTCGTTAAAAGTGACTTTTTTAAACGGTGCCAAATCTCCATAAAGATTCATGCGTAATCTCGGCGCTACATGGATATGAACGTGTGTTTTAAATCTTTCAGTGTATTACACTGTGATGAATGTAGGCCGAATGCAAATTAAGAAAGATGTGCTTCTTCAACTGTGCGCTATGGAATTTCTTTATGCCCAGTAACTGTGTAAATAGTTTTCAGTACACCAAGAAAAATTTACTTTACATTAACGATTCTGTTTATGTAGGATTTGAGGTTTTCACAGCGGTGAGTCTGAAGATTGCTGTCTTCTGGGTTGTTACGCCGTGTAGAGTTTTCATATAATTGCATTACGTCAATATTTTCAAGCTAATGTGGTTGAAGCAAATCTTGTTTTTGATCGTGGATAATGACACCGTGTTTCAATGGACTTTTTTTTCTTCCATCGTTTCGAAACCTGGCTGTCTCCATCTTTAAGGCGAGGTGATTGAAATGTAGCCTGCCTCATGTTCCGAAACTATAAATGTCTGAGCCAAGTGTTGAAGGCGGAGACAGTCATGTCCTACGAAAAGTTGACAGATCGTCCCACCACTGGCTGTTATCGCCCAAAAATGGAAACATAATTAATTAACGGCTTATATATATATATATATAGAGAGAGAGAGAGAGAGAGAGAGACGTGACAAGGGCGGGGCACTAGCCCCTGGCGTAGGACATGTAGGGGCGCAAAATTGAAAATTAGAAAGTTGAAATTTTTAAATATTGTGCAATTCACGTGTGCAATGAATAAAATTAATACAAAATTTTTCAGAATTTTATCATTTTGAGGGTTGGGAGGCGCAGTTCAGTAGCAGGCCCCAAGCACATAAATCTTAATTACGGCTCTGTATGTGTGCGTGTGTGTACGTATGTACAGCCGTAACTAAGATTATATTTTTTGTGTGTGTTCTAATAGTGTGCAACTAACACTAACAACCACTTAGTGTACTACACACTGTTCGAATATTATTGTAACTCAATGAGACGAGGACGTTCTGCTACAATATATCCACTACTAAGGTATAAGAGCACAGCAGGAGCGCGTAGTGAGGGCGCATGACCATTGGGTTCATTGGTGAGACAAAAATAGCGGCCCTACTTGGCACACGTGTTCAAGAGTGGACACAATAATTCGGTCCTTGTGACGAGTCGTCCGTGAATTGTGTTCGCATCAACAAAATGGAGTCAATAAAGGCTTGCAAACTTATGCGTTCAATATGGCTGTCTTCTGGGATGTTGCGCCATGTAGTCGGGTAGATACTTATCCATGTTTCAGACGAATTTATAGCTTACTGCCTACATCATCAGGGCGATCGTAAAATCCCGTTGAAAGAGGATTTTCTTCTTTGAGAGAACAAAAATATACAGTTTTAAACTTGTTTCTCATGCATCAGTACGTCTTTCAGTAATGATGTAGTCGTTTAATACTTGTAATTGACTGTCAAAGTTTTATTTTATTATAAGACTGCCCTCTTTATTATAACTAACCATCAAAATCCATGTTACAAGGATCTCCTTGGAAATTTAAAAAAATTACTCTGCTCATCTAAATGTTGCCTGCATTAATGGAGCACGGCCATCTGTAATTACGTTCACAAAGACCTGGTGTTGGCACCATCCTTGAATCCTCTCCATCCTCTCATATCCTATTTCAGTTTTAATATTTTCTTCCCAGTCTACACATAAGTGTATTTCTTTTGTTTGGGCGTTCAGTCCGATAAGCTCATCGTTGCAGTCAGCATTATCCTACCACACAAGTGACTCGTTCCTAGCCTTCCCCTTGAAAATTCCACCGGCCAAAAACTACTGCGCCGATTATACAACTCAGAAGACAGCCATCTTTAAACTTGCTGCTGTGAGAACCCCAAATAAATCCTATATTATTTTCATACATGTGAGAACCTCAAATAAATCCTATATTATTTTCATACAAATTTGTTATTCCTGTAGACCCCTCTAAATAAAAAAAACAGATATCTGTAATGTCCCTGGATAGGCACTGCGACACCCTATACACTGTACATTATATATATGTTTATACCAAATTTGACAGGTAGGAATTATTTTTAAATGTTTGGTAGTCAGTTTATAATTGTGAGATGAAACAAAAATGTCATTGTCTGCATGCAGGGACCAGAAATGATCCGGGTATCCAAGTTCTACAAGGATTCAAAAGATGGAAAGTTCATCAGCTACCTGGATAAGGACACAAGGACACTGTATGAAACATTCAGGAATGGTGCTAAGGAGTCAAGTAAGTAGCTGTTTCAACAATGTTCGATTGTCCTGTATCAGGAAATTCGGGTTACACATTACGCTGCTGTAATACTTTGTAATGTTAGCTATATGTGTAAAATGAATAAAACCGTAATTGGCAAACAACTTCAGTCTTTATATTTTTCTGAACGTCTCTCTGTCAGACATTTGAGCTTTTGGGTCTTTAGTCAGATTATTATCGCAGACCTTCATAATGTTTTTTGTAAAATACAAATTTGGACATTCATGATCAAATAATGGCACTTGTAGGATGTAGATATGAGTATGTAACATTGTGGAAACAAGAGACTGTTTATACATAAAATACTAGTCAGTAATTATTAATTTGTAATAAAGATTAATATTATGTTGCATCAACTAAATGTCTTAATTTTAAGATAAGATATTATATTCAGACCATTAATGCTATGAGAATTAATGCACTACATGTAATACTCTTAGGCCTAACTTTATTTTCATTAGCATTTTTCTTTACTCTGTGGTTACTTAAAAGAAAAGAAAAAAATTGTTTGAGGACAGACAGACTGTTTTATTAAGAAAAACATTTTGTTCTCCTCACCTAATCTTAATTAGAATTACATTGTCTGAAGGTTTAAGAACATATTATTGCTTCTCTCTGACCCTGTTAATTACCTTAATATCATATCTGTAACTGACCATTGTTATAAATCAAAATGACAAATTTTATACTTATTTTGGACCCAGAATAAGGTACATGAATTAATATGAGCAGTGGTTTTAAATATTTGATTTACAAGGATGCCTTGTGTGGGTTATGAAGTTGAATTAAATGATTATAACATTTTAAAGTTTGTAAAACAGTTTACCTAAAAAATCACATGTGTTCAGGGTAAAAATACGTAACAAGAACTGTTTCAATAAGAGTATTTAGTGTGTCACACATAATTTTTGTCATTGGGTTGGAAGTACTGAATTTAAGTGTGTGTTTCTGTTGCAGATAATGGACCATGCCTTGGCTGGAGAGAATCTCCAAACAAACCGTATCAGTGGCTACATTATAATGAGACATTACTTCGAGCCAAAAATTTTGGCTCTGGACTTGTGGCTCTAGGTCTCAAGCCATCTCCCAACACATATGTTGGTATCTACAGTCAGAACTGTCCTGAATGGATTCTCACAGAACAGGGTGCATATTGCTACTCCATGGTGATTGTGCCCCTTTATGACACATTAGGACCTGATGCGTGTGCCTACATTATCAAGCAAGGTATGAGAAATGAGTGAAGGTGATAATGTTGTTTCATGATTATGTCTGTTGTTATATGCACATTAAAACACTGCATTTTCCTGCCTGTTTATTTTAATAAGAAAATTTTTCAAATTTTTTATGGGATTCATTTCCTTAACTGCCAGGGCTTGAAGAAGAAGACTTAGATAAGACAATTGTTTTTTATTGCTAACAGCATCAAAACCTGACTTGAGAGTTAACAGCAGTTTATTCAGATCATAAATGTTGTGTGTTTTTCAAGTTTCAAAACCTACTTAACTTAGTTACAATAAAATATTGTACTTTGCTACTGAGCAGGTCAGCTGAATCAGAAACACCTGTAATGTTTTTTTCTTCATGTCTGGGGCATTGGCTATCATGATTTGAGTTTAATCATGGTTTGCTTCCACTTTCTTCTAAAGTATTTTGGTTCTCTACACATAACTATCCTCACATTTCATTAAGTGCTAAATAAACCCCAGTGGTTAGTACAGCATCACTGAATAAACTGTGAATCAATTACATTTAAATTATGTGTTTTATGATGGTTGCAGTGTTTGTGTACATATTAGCAGCTCCGGGTGCATGACAACATTATCATGTTTATTCATGCTTTATAATTTGTATACAAGTCATTTGAAGCTTCAAGATAGTGGGGACAGACCACTTTTTGGTATTCCTTCTCATAATCAACAATATGTAAAGTGTTGTTTTGTTCTTCTGTCTTCTTAATCATCTTGTCTCATTTTACTGCAAATTGCTAATTTTTAAGACAACTGTAGTACACCATCCATCACTGACATCCTGTGATGTTTCCATTAAGGTAGATCACCTTATGACATATCCTCCTCAGTGACTATCATTATCATGTTCTCATAGCGGAAATCCACGTGGTAATCTGTGAGGATGACACGAAATGTAATCTACTGTTAGACAAATCTCCTCGTTGTCTGCGCAAACTGATTACCATCAAGGAGACCCGACCAGCCACAAACCAGAGGGCCAAAAACAGAGGGGTGGAAATGCTGCGCTTTGAGGATGTGGAGAGGCTTGGAGCAGCCAAGGACAATCCAGAAGTGGTATGTTGTACTGTGCTTCAGTGAAAATAGGAATTACATAACATCACCAGTCTGTTTATTACAGTTCCTAGAATGTCATGTCACTTGTAGTTCTTGATATTCACAAGTATGTGACCTTATTTCTCTGTCTCACCCAAGAACAATCCTGATATAAACAAAGAGGAGGGCAGTCATATTCACCCAGTTAAAAATTACCTCTAATAAACATAAATTGTGTAACATGGAAATGAAAATTAAAAAAAACAAGACTTTGCCATGACCATTGAATACTCAAATGTACTTCTGGAAAGGGTAAATTAAAAAATAACTGAAAATAAATGGGCTGTATACTGGGCAGTACTTTTCATATAGAAGTGCCTGTGTTTTTTAGAAACCTACCTGAAAACCAAACACACATTTAGGTCCCTTGAGACTCTATTCAAAGCAGGTTATAAAGATATCAACCTCGTCCTCCTCCTCACTCCTCACTTCTCACTTTCAGACTGTCTTGTAACACAAATTCAAAGCTGCACCACTAGATACAAGTTTAATTCATTCCAGATTTACATCCTCACAATTACCTACACTAAGATGTGTTTTCATATTTATTGTTCATCTCTTTTAGTCTTTCAGATGGCTACTTTCAAAAACGTTTTCTCCACCAAAATTCTGTATACATATCTTGTTTGCCCTTATTAGATTTTTATGTGCTACCAATTGTAACCTTCTTGGTTTGACTAGCCTGACATTTTGTCTTGTTAATCAATCATCTTTACAACAATTACATCTTCATACATATTACAGTGACTATTTGGGATGTGCTGGTGTAGACATGAATTACTCTGTTCGACATGAAGCTCTCCCACTGTCTGAATGATATTACAGAAATTATGTGTTGCTTTTTTGACAGCCTCCAAAAGTGACAGATCTCTGCACAATCTGTTACACATCAGGGACAACAGGAAATCCTAAGGGCGTTATGTTGAGTCATGAAAATGTGGTAGCAGGGATGTGCGCTGTAATACTGCAACTTGGCGACCACAGACCCCGTTCTGATGACATTATGATGTCATTCCTACCACTGGCACATATGTTGGAGCGGTGTTGTGAGGTATGTGAACAGTACCATTATGGCATGCATTAAGTTCTGAGATAGGTGGAACTCACATTTTTTTCGATGAAAGATGATACAGAACAAGATAATTATTTTAATCAAAAGCGATTAAGTATATGCCCATGTCTGCCCGGTTATTACGTATAGGGAATCTTGTGGTTAATTTTATTTTTGATGTTATGCTTACTGTCCTGTGCTCAATGAATATCACTGCATAGTGGTTAGCAATTTATCATATGTGGAAGAGTTCAGTTTAGAATGTTATCTAAATTATAAAACTGTAAATAACTGTTCTGAAGGAAGATTACAATGAAGATTTATGGAAATATTTTTACTTTTACAGGATCCTCTCTGGTAGACAAACACAACATTCTTATTTGCATTTCTCACTATGTTTCGTGAGGAGTAAGATATAATTGTAATCTGCAGAGTTCTAATGTGCAACTTTGTATAGACAATACTGCACATTCTGTAGCCCGTTGGTCTGCAAAGACTCCTGCAGTATGTGAGTGTGCTGTGAGTTGTCTTTCTTGATATTGAAATTGCAGAATGGAATGTACCTGTTAGGAGGAGCAGTGGGGTTCTTCTCTGGTGATATCAAGAGGTTATCTGAAGACATGAAGGCTCTTCGCCCCACAATGATGCCAGCAGTTCCACGCCTACTGAACAGAATTTACGACAAAGTAATGACAGAAATCAGTGGGTCCTTCATCAAAAGAACACTCTTCAACATGGCCTTGAGTGCAAAGGAGAGTGAAATTAGGAAGTGAGGACTCTTTCCTTTTCTTTATTTATTCATTTTGTATTTTGTCATTTTTTGTTTATTTAAAACAGTCATTAACTGGATATCAATTGGATATTGAAGAAGAATGTGAAGTAATGGGACTGGAATGATTAACAGAGAAAGGAAGTGGGAGCGAATAAGAATGGGAAATCCCAAATAAGATACAGGCTGGCCCAAAATATAAACTCAGTTATCACTACAGTGAGTGAAATGCTTTGAAGAAACTTTGCTGAGACACTGTAGTACTCAAGCCATTTGGTCATCTTTTATTTTTGTTTAGGTACCAGGCAATCCAAAGGTTATGGATGAGCTCAAATTATGTATTGAGCATGAAATATTTGCTATTCAAAGTGATATCCTCCAAAGTGCGGTGTCAAACTTTGAGATGAGGTTGTGAAAGATTGTCTAAGTTGAGGACAAACAAAACACATTGAACACACAATACAAATGGCTTGAGATGCTGGTTTGAGTGGTATTAGAATGAGATTTTTATGTTCCATCATCCAGGTGAAATAAAGCATTAAATTTTGTAGGTACATTTCAGGATATTCTGTATATGTGTAATTTCAGGGGAGTGCTTATGTTAGTGAAGTATTATGTGGCATTTTAGACTAACCTAGCCAAAAAAAAATTTGTAACAAATATCTGTATAAAGAAGAATTTTGATTTTAATGAAAGCTTAACTCATTTGGTAATCTATAACATATTTAATCATTCCTGAAGTAGAAAACGAGTTGGTAATAATCATATGTGTTAGAAAATATGACTTTTATTTTGCAGGGGCATAATTCGAAGTAATAGTTTCTGGGACAAACTGGTATTCAGGAAAGTGCAAGAAGGGATGGGTGGCCGATTACGTCTCATGGTGGTTGGCTCAGCACCTCTGGCAGGCAATGTTCTTACATTTACTCGTTGTGCCCTTGGTGCTCTGGTAAGTATAAAATGCTAATAAAGTTATCCTATTTAAGAGGGAGATATTCATGTTTTTCTTTTCAGAAAAATGCTGGAATAGTATTGTACAATGGGCCACAGCAGGACAGGATCATTACTCTGATGATGGTAGCAGCAAGCACCTCTGAAACATCAGTGAATTTCTACCAGGCCAGATGGTGCTACAACCTAGAAGACAGTCATCATCATATGCCTTCTTGGTGTCAAAAAATAGCTTCCCACTGGACACAGTTACATTAAAAGCATATATATTGGTCTCTCCAGAAACTATATACACAGTATACAACAGCTTGTATGTATTCCATCTTTCCATCCTTACTTGTCTGTGAACTACAGCATAATACCAGCTTCACAGACATCACAAACATGTGAACGTATGATTTGGAAACAAAGCAGGAAAATTCAGTATACAGGATTTGCTTCCAGGACATTTTGTTCACTGTTTTTGGTTCATAAATAATTCATTTTGTAACTGTTTTGTCCACAGACATTTCATCCACCTTATTACATTAAAATACCATACATGTATGTTTTATATAATGTCCAATTTTTTCTCTTCCCCCACAGTATTACATCAGATATTTTTATTCAAAGGTATTTTTCCATTGCACTTATTTCACACAGACTTTCTCTGTGTTCTGTGGGTGGTGGAGTGATAATATCTTACAGCGCTAGTAAGGAAACATTGAATACATGTTATTGATATTATAATGATCTCTTTAAACTGACATTAAATTCGTAGAGTGATATGGTATAACACATCCACAATCAAAACATGTACTTAAACCTATTTTTAATTATTGAAATACAAGATTACCATGATAATGGAGACTTTTCAAAACTTGTTCCTGTTTGCAGGTAGTGGAGGGATATGGCCAGACAGAATGCTGTGCTCCTGTAACACTCACCGTTCAGGGGGATCATGTTCCAGAGCATGTGGGTCCCCCTGTGGCCTGCTGTTGTGTCAAACTGGTAGATGTACCAGAAATGGAGTATTATGCTGTCAATGGACAGGGGGAGGTCTGTGTCAAGGGTACAAACGTCTTCCAAGGCTACTACAAGGAAGATGAGAAAACTAATGAGATTATAGATGCAGGTGGTTGGCTCCACACAGGAGATGTTGGAATGTGGCTGCCTGTATGTATTGCAGTGGGTTCTTATTGAAACATGGTATCTGGCTACACATTTTGTGTCTCCACCTGCATGTGCTGTACAGCTGCCTCTGTTCATCTTTATTGTCTGTTTGAAATTTTAGCCCAGTGACTAGCTATCCTGACAGGTTTTTCATTTTTTTCTTCTTCTTCTTCTTCTCTCTCTCTCTACCCCCCCCCCCCCCCCCCCCACATATAACACAACAGAGAAAAACTAATAATTCATAAAAAGCATTATCTTAATTTTTTCTGCTCTAAATGTCAATATGATCATGAATAGTATCATGTTGTAGGCCATTACTGTTTCCTGACAAATCCTTTACATGAAACTATACAAAATTGTTTCCTTGTTTAATTCACCACTACATAACCTCATAGTTGTTAATGTGTTGTTGAATTTTTAAATTGTAATTTTTCTACATATTGAAGCATATTCTAAGATTACGCAGTTAAGTTCCTGTAAAGTTATATTTATGTTGAAAGAACAATCTACTAGATAATGAGAACACAAGACAGCATTTCCAGAGTAATATTCTTGTTGAGAATTATGCCTTTCCAGCTGCGGCAATGACAGCAGAAAGAGATTTATGTTTCAGTAGCTCTGGCGAGAGGAATGCCACACCACACTGTAAAATTCACTGTGTGAAGGTCGATGCTGGAAATATTCTTTGTTGAATGTGAAGATTGTGCTAACAGCCTAACACACAAAACAGTGATTTCAGGCATATAAATGCTGCTTGGTCATTCTGGAGGACACATGGTTTGAAGATATTTTTTTTATTTGTTAACCTTTATTGTCCATGTATCGTGGCTTAAGGCACAATGCAGTTAGCCATGTCTGGCTATGCATTACAATAACATACCACGAAACCATGAACTCTTAGTCCTGTGAGGATGTATTAAACCTAACAAATGATATTTTTACAACATAAAAGGGTTAAAAGTAATTTTTCTGCAAAATTATTGTAGTAATTGGTATGTTATTCTTATTTATAGAATGGAACACTAAAGATAATTGACAGGAAGAAACATATCTTTAAGCTGTCGCAAGGAGAATATATAGTGCCTGAGAAAATAGAGAACACCTATATTCGCAGTCAATATGTGCAGCAGGTGTTTGTGTGTGGGGAATCTCTGAAGGTGAGCTTTTAAGGTCTTTTGTCCCATGATCAGAACCCACAGAGGTTGAGTTTATGTTATATATAAGTGCAGATTAGTAGCATAAATTAAATACCACTAGTCCAGATTAAATGTCTAGTCCAGTTTTATTATTTTATAAGTAAAGACAATCTTATGGTATCATCGTGTTTCCATATTTTCCTTCCATTGTCACTTTTTAACCAGTTGATAGACTTTCATGAAACTTGGTCTGAAGATCATGCCACTGTAGGGTCTTTATGTGTCTGTATTTTATATGCAGTCTTGTTAACTTCACAAGTATAAGGAATAAGATTGCTTCTAAAATTTTAGCTGATAAATAGTAAAAAGTGATTTTTTTTATTTGTATATAGTTATGGTTTACATTAATTATGCTGTCAGTAGCACAGAACTATACAGTATTGATTGATAAGATGTTAATAAATTGGAAAGCTAAGTGTTAGTTTTACATGACCACCATGTTGTTTTTGTATACCCTAGATCCCAGGTTCAAATCTTGGCCTGGGGATCAGCTATCCTGACTGAGGTTTTACAGTGGTCAGTCATATAAGATTAATATTTATATTTTAGTTTGATGATGGTAACTAATAAACTGGAAGCTAGACATAAGAGAAATTTTGTATAGAGATAGATCACAAACATAACCTATCAGTTCTTTATGAAACATTTTTATCTTAGCAGTCACAAACATCATCACATTGAGATTATGTCCATCAAATTTAAAGCGGTGGGAATGTACAGGAGTGAAAATTATGCAAAAGAATGGATTACTACATTTTATAATTGTTAAATTTTAGATGGCTATTAAATTCATTTTATGTACTTAAGTATTTGAAGGAATGTATGTATTATGAGTTTATCCCAGAACTCCTTTATTCTGTCATGTGGAAAGAAAACGTGGAAGAACATAGCCTTTATATCATCACTTCCATTTATGACTGAGGCGTGCATATTTGAAACAAGTATATCATACCACAGCATCTTAAAGTTTTGTATGATATTCTGGTGCTGTAAAACTTTACTTTCTAATTTTCTCATGCATGAAATAGCCAGTCCATAAGTGATAGTAACATTTACATTTCAGCAGTAAGAAAATGTAATCATCCACTGGTGAGATGACATCCTAAACTTTTATCACAAAAGCAAATCCTAGCTGAAGCAAAAGGTAGCTAGATTATGCACATTTATATAGTCTTACTTCCAGAAGGTTAATATAAGTATTATTGTTGCAGTCTTGTATTGTTGCGGTGGTAGTGCCTGATGTGGATGTCATTAAGAGCTGGGCATGTGAGAACAGGATTCCTGGTACATTGTCTGTATTATGTGCTCATCCTGAAGTGAAGCAGCTCATCATGGATGACATGATTAGCTGGGGCAAGGAGGCTGGACTCAAGTCATTTGAACAGGTTTGTAGTCAGCACAGTGCCACTAGGCTACAGAGGGCCTTCAGAGATTGTTTTCTCCTCCTGTTTCATTAATCCTAAGAAATGAAATGAATGAATGGCTTAAAAATGAGGAGACTGAGGGCACTGGGCATTCTTGGTAATTTTGTATTTCCTACTGCTCTTGATGTTCATTTGTTGCAAATGTAGTTATGGTTTGTTAATGATTCTGTCAACAGCTTGGGCTGTATAGCAAATGATAGGATGACTTATGAATAATGAAAAAGAAATGATATTGAAGGAACCAGATGTTGCCCAATTTAAGGTACTATACCAGCATTTTCTTGGTGAAGCTGAGAAGACAACAAAAAGCCGCAGCCATCCTAGCTATTGTCCAGGCTGAGTTATAATTATACTTTTAAAAAGTAAAGTAAATCTGTCCCGCTACATGCCATGCAGGTCGTTTGGGGGGAGTGGAGGTATAACTCCCACTCTTTCTTGACCTTGGCACTAGATGGGGGTGAGTGGCCATGCTTTACCCCCGCGAAAGGACCCCTGTACCCATTGGATAGGAGGTTGGGTGGGGCCCAGAGCCGATCTGGATGCAGAGGCTAGAGGAAAAATCCTCCGCCCCAATCGTCCAGCCCGTGGCTAGTCACTATACCTACATATACATATTAAAAAATGTGTTAGAAATTCAAGATCATAAAATGGTTGTATTTTATACAATATACATTTTTCTTTTGTATAAAGTGGTGAATGCATACTAACGTTCAGTTCAAATATTTGATATTTCAACCTCCTCTCTAAAGATATGATGATTAAAATGTACAAAACTATATTTTTTCCTGCTTCCATATGTGTGTGAAGCTTTATCTCTCACCCTAAAAGAATAACATAGTTTGAGGATAGAATGTACATGAGAATACACAGATCTAAAAGGGAGTAATTGACCTGTTTGTAGGGTGATTAAATCCAGGAGGATAAAGTGAATGGGCCCTTTTTATACTTATTTGCTGAATAATAAGGAACTGAGTTTAAAGAATGTAAATTCTTACGTACCTTATTTTGACATGTATGATACCCCATTCTGGTTGTTCATTTCAGGTAAAGGATATTTATTTGCATCCTGACCCGTTTTCGGTTCAGAATGGACTGCTGACTCCGACGTTAAAAAGCAGACGACCTCAACTCAAGGCCTACTTCAAGCCTCAGATTGAAGACATGTATACAAAACTGACTTAGAAAGAGAATCTTGATGTCCATAACTGACAGTGTGACACCATAAGTATGCTTTGATCAATTTTCTACAACTTTTATGAATACACCCCCTTGTACTTGGAAGCATACATCTTAAAAGAATTGTAGTGAAATGAAATTCATGAAGTTAAAACTCGTCCAGTCCACACAGATGAATGAACTTGTACATATTAATAATCTCATTTCTGTATGATCCCTTTATCTTTTTTAATTTGAAAGTTATGTATGTAAATTACACAAGCATCTATGTGAAAATGGTTCAAGGACATTTTTGTTCTTTGTAAGAAATATGTTGATTATAGTTACAGCAAAGCCTGTGTTCTGAGTAACTGCTGGTTAACCGAAAAATTTATAAAAGAAATATTGATTTATTTTGTACTGTCTTTAATTTTAGTGAGAACTGTCTACTTGTAAGTTACTGGACAAGTATGAAGAGTGTTATATTGCAGATTATGTTCATGTCAAGTGAATTGTCATGCCTCGGTGTGTTTAAACAGAAACTTTAACTGTGACTCTATATGTGAAAACTGGTTTGACTGCTGTAGTTCATCATAATAAAATCATCTACTTCTTCATGATACAGGTGGTTTGGGTATTTAATAATTGGAGAAGAACTGTATTACTGGAAAATGCAACAGTAGCCTCAATTAGCATGCATGGACAGGTGTGATGCAACTTTGAACAAGTCACATGATTGAGACATTAGATGTGCAATGCATTTTTATAGAATGGATTATTATAAAACTGATGTAGTTAGGTTCAGACATACTACTTCTATGGTACTGAACCAACATATCTCATGTTTTCATTAAAGTAATGAGCCTTCTGTTGATCACTGTGAAAGTTTCTGTTTGTTATGTTCATGTTATGTTTATCTGGGGTGATCATACTTGTTTATCACAAAGTTATAATAATTTCTTGATAAAGTTTTGACATAAACTTAGAGCAGGTTTTACTTTAAATGTTTTGAAGAGAAGCATGGTGTTTCTTGTCAGAAATAGGAAGTAAGGAAGGATATTAATGGTCACCTAATCATCATTTAATGATTTATTGTTCTTGCAAGTCTGGGTATTGCAGAAATGCAGTCAGTATTATTGACACTAGTTGTTATTTGAAAGAAATTTTATTACTGTAAGTTCTGTCATAAACATTTTCAATAAGAAAAATATATTTAATTATGTGCGAGAATATTGGAATGTGACAAGAGCAGGTCTCTGAAAGAAATGGAGGCAAGGAAGATGTTTCTGAAAGCATTTTTTGTAATCATTGACATACCCAATTACCAATGGAGTTCTGACCATGGTAGATATCATGTTATTGATTTTGCTGGGAGAGGATATAGCAAAAATGAAATTGTGTTTACTCTGAGACTTCGGACAAATGAATGTATTTGCAGTAATGATAACATTAAGTGACAAAGAACAAGCTTGTTGAAGAAACATTTTTAGATTCTGATGACATTGAAAGCATAAAAGACCATGCAAATGTCTGAATTGGAGTCTGAAATAACAAGAAAAATCTTTAGCAAAAATTGGATGAAAATGGGGGGGAAAATCTAGATAGTTTTCTTTCTGTTTTGTACCAAATTAATATTTCTTTTTCAGACTAGAGTTTGGGCTTGTAAAACATTTATCTGAATTATAATATATAGCAATTCATGCAGAATTTCTGAACATAAATTATAAAATGCATAATGAAAACACACAATAGTTTTGCGTTTGTAATGGAAGGAAGTCCACAAGAATTTAGCCATAGGAAGACACTTTATTTTGTTCACTTAACTATTTTCTGACGTATCTTATCTTCACCCTTTCTGATTCCATGTATTAGAAATCCTTAATTATAATTGGTTTTCTTTGCCAATTAAAACTGACAGTTGAAGGTATTACAGGTACCAAAATGACCCAACAATTGGGACACGTTATGGATTGATCAAATATATGTGTTAATGGGTCCATCCTCACACGTATTTGTAGGTTTTATTAATTTGTTAATTATACCACAACATATTTTTTTCACAGTAGGAATATCTTCAGGTGGATACGTTATAATAGTTTAGGATATTATTGGCTGTTAAGAATAGTGTGGATATTAATACATAATTACTAGTTAAAATGGTTAAAATTAACATTGAATAAAATTATTAAGGTTAAAATTACTTCCACAATAGAATATGGTATTACTGACAAAATTATATTACAAGGATCCTTGTTTACATATTAGTGTATATGTATATATTTATAATTATTGGTTGATGTTATTTACTGTGTGGATGGACCAATTGTATTATTATTTGGTAATTATAAGGTCAATTAAGTTTAATTCTTCAGATGTTTTCTGGCAAGTATTTAAAGTGTGTAGTCTTAAAGTATAACAGATTTTTAAACAAACTGTAGTTTTAAAGTCTCTGCAGGTGCCTTGCCACTATTTAACATGTAACCAGCGCTTAAATTGTGATGGAATCATCAAATTCTCTTCTCCCAAATCCAACCTGGGATGTGATCAGTTTGCTGACCTCAGATGTTTTCATCAAGAAAAATTACATGTGCAGTGTAACTAGTGTTGAAGAAGTGAGGTGATCAATTTAAGGTGTGTTTATCACTTCAGTACAGTGGGCAGTACCACATTAGAAACAGTTGTTTTCTTTTGTTTTATCAATAAATGTTGATGTCACTTCAGTATATTCCATTTCTTTAGTCCCTCACGTATTTGAATTTTCATCACTTGAATTGACATGTTCTAGTTTATAGTCTTTTGTTTGTCCAGGAGCACAGATGCTTTCATGAAGATTGTTCGCTTTGAACTAAATTGGAATATGCTTTGTAGTGACTAAAAACTGTGAATTAGAAAAATATGGTCAACAATGTAATTAGACTAATTATTTTTCTGTTACATTCTCTGAGTTGATGTATCACATGTTCTTATTTCACTCGTACTTTTTGTGGCATTTACCAGGGACTGCACTGATATCCTTCTCAAGTAGAATGCAGAATCAGATTTGATTTTTACAGTAACTGAAGTTTAGTACCATGATTTTGATTTCAGAATATTAAAGTGTCTTCTCTGGGAAAAATTCACTGTTGTGAACAATGTATTTAATGTCATTTTTTATCATTTCTGTGGATCTGTCCTCAATTCCATCATACGAACCAAATAACATGATATTGCTCCATTTAATCTGCACTTTTGCCTTCCTCAAATATTATTAACAAAGATATGAATAACTTGTAACCCTGTGGTCTCTCACTCATCATAACTTTCCTACAATCTTCATACCATCTTACTCTCCTCACATTTAAAAAAAGCATCCAAATGCAACAAGATTTTGAGGTGTTACAGGAAATTATAGTAGTCATATATTTGAATCATTCCTTAGATCGGGGAAAGTACATTCATATAAGTTGCACATTTTCCAAACTTTTTATTGATTACTTAATTGTTTTGTAATTTGCTCACTTTTCACTTCATGTCATAACATTTGTCTTGCTGAAGCTTGTGTTCTGCCATGTATAGATACAAATTATAATATGTGAGGCTAACTAGGTGCATTGTATACTGAAGTAAAGAAGTCATGTCTTGTGTAGAGCAAAACTTTATTTTTGTTATATATTTTTAATACAGTATATAATAACATATAAATATACTTCAATTGTGATGGCTGATGGAAATATCAGCAAGGGGTTACATTTAATTGTTTGACACAATCCTATAATATCCACAAGTAGATAGAAGATGTATGTGGTAAGTAAAGGCATAGTCATTATATTTTTTAAATGATTTGATTTATAGAAGAAAGTATATAGACAATGTTAATCACCTCAAAGCACACACTGTAAGAGAAAAAAGTCAGTGTTTAATAATCTATGGTAAATATATTTGATAGAAATTTATTACATGTAGTACATTTTTATTTTGAGGCATTTGTGTTTAAGTCCACTGGTACCATTCTTGCACATATTTAACAGAATGAATGACAAATTATACATTGTCAAAATAAAATATTGAAACAATAATTTGATAGAGGCTATGGCCACTTTTCGTCCTTGATCCTACGTTTAAAATCTGATATAACATACACAGTTGGAAAAAGTGTTGCTAAATAAACAAAGTATTGAATTGTTTGCTCTACTTTTGAGAGGCTAGTTTTATGGCAGAAATTGTATCCATTCTTAATTTTCTATTGGAAGGGAATAAATTGTTATGAAATTATTGAAAAAATTATGCAGCAAACTGTAAAATTATATACTTACCACTTTTGTTCCCTTCACTTTTCAGGATTGAAAAAGTTTCTGAATTCAAATACTGAACCAGGCATGATGGTGGCATCCGGATTCTGCAAGTATTGCAGATTCTGTAAATATCACATCACCTGTTGAACATCTAAAGCAGTACAAATATTTGGAACTGGTGAGATTTCTTCTTATATTGATTTAAATTAAATCATGTTGTACTTTTATTTTTTGTCTTTGTGATCAAATTTCAACATTTTATTCACTTTTTCTCAAATAAGAAAATGTTGATCATCTACCAAATAATACCAGAATAATTTGTATAAAAAACTCCTTCCCTTCAGTCTGATCTCTCAGCATTAAAGAGGAAAGCCAATATTTGCAAGTGTCTGTGTGTAGTTATGGATCAGGAGAATGATCAAGTAACAAACACATGTTCAATATACTTTTCATGATGAATATTAGCACTTAATACAATAGTCATTAACATTGCCATTTTCTCCCAGATTAAATTCTTCACTGGATCAGATTCTGACATGAAGTACTTGTGAAAGAAACTCATGTGGATGTTCTAATTCACTCATGCTGTTCATTTAAAAAAATGACTGTTTATCCTTTATAAAGACTGAAATATCTAAGTTAAGCTCATTTTTAAAGTATATTATTTGTGAAGAAAATATTTTTGCATCCTTTAGTGATGGTAGTATGATAGAACTCAGTTGTTAAGGGCAGTAGTTGCAGATATGTTCCAACATACAATTTTCCTTTCATTAATACAAACTAATTAGTACTGTTAATTAGCTTTTATTAACAAATTCAGCAGTTAATTAGTTAAAACATTTTGCCACTATGGTACTATTTGTATGGTAAACTTGTAAATCAATATTAAATTTGAAAAGGTTGATTCATGGTGTTTTCCAGTGTGAGAACAAAAACTGAAGGATAGGTTGTATTTAGGCTAAGAATGTAGTCACTATACACAGAATAGGAAATACATATTTTATGACAGCAATACAGCAAATGTCTGTACAACTTTAGGCCATATTTTGTATTTTAATAAAGAACAGTATAAGGTTGCATCTCTAAATCAATCAACTAAGAAAACAATAATTATACATGACAGCCCTAATTAAAACATGAAGTGTAATTTGATTTTCATACATAGAAGTACTTTTAATAATTCCGATTCAAAATTTTTTCTCAAAATCAAAATACATCATAAATTTAATATCTATTTCTACTTACACTTTATAGTTACCCTCCTAGCATGTTTCATTATCACTGATCATATTTTTGTGAATCTAACATTAGTGTACATAACCTGAATGGGAAGAAGTCACACCAGCCCATCCTCAGAGATACTTATGAATAGATAACAGAATTTTTATGGTTAATACATTACATGGAATACAGAAAACTGGGCTTTACTTCTTTCATAACTGTATATAATAGGCCAGATAGTGCATACTGAAACACAGTGCCTATGAAGCACATTATCAAGAGAAAATTCATATTCTTTATGAAAGGATTTAAAACATAAGAAAAGTCACTGTATAATCAAAATACACAAACCTGAGTATTACATATGCATGATGATAAAAATTCACAAATTCTGTCACAAAACCAAAGTAGTTTTGTAAAATACAAGTGAAAGGAATGATCAAGAAAAATTCAATCTGGGTTAAATTTCTGCAGAAACTGTGGACAGTCCTCAGGCAGATACCCACACACAGAATAAATATAATAAATGATGACATTAATCACTGGAATGTAGAGAACAGAGGTACTTGAGATACCCTTTCAGTTTAACTGGAATGTGTATTTCAAGATAAGTTGATCATGATTGATTCCTGTAAATTTCTATATCAACTTCAAAAAGATAACACTACAGTGGATGAGCATGGAGAATCCTAATGCTTTGAATTATGTATCGTCAACAGTTTTTTCAGCTATTAATCCAGCAATGATATATAACATGTTTTTCGCTGTATTGTCTTGTAATAGTGATTACTATGAGAAACATGTTCAGTGGTTGATTTTGCCTTCCCCTTCTTTATATGGGTCTTGGGATTTATGTATTGGAGAACTGAAAAAGTAGGAAGACCTAATAACAAGTGAACAGGATTATAAATCAAATTTAAATTAACTGGTGTACTGGGTTAGCAACTGTAAGTATGTATTAGTTCAACAGATATGGAACTCTGGTTTTTATGGTGCAGAATCAAAGATAAACTGGAGTATCTGTGAGCAACTTAATGAAAAGACAAAGTTTGGGGTGCAGTCAGAAAGTCAAACATTACATTAAATCTTACATTAATCCACTGGTATACTACTGATGCACTGTTTAATTCACAGGTTTCAAATTATGGCTCAAAATTATCACAAAATTTCCATGCATGTTTACATGCAAGAAAAAGCTTCCACTTTTGTTTGATGGTGCTTCACAGCTTGAATGGGATCATGATACTACTGACTCTTTCTACAACTTGTTCTTTGAACAAATGAAACAGTACTTTTGTAAGATATTGTGTACTGTCACTAGTACAGGATGGTTATGCAGGTGGAACTCTTGCCCACAGGGGTATCTGGAAGTATCCCAATTCTGATCTCATCATATTTTGTGTATACAAAATTAGTGGGACAGATTATGTTAAATCTGTGTAATTATTATTACTATTATTTATTATATTATATTTGAAGTCCCAACTTTTTGCAACAAATCCCACAACTTGCTGTACTGTCAGAAAATACATTATTGTCAATGTGAATTTCATTATTCCTCTGTAGCAATACGAAGTTACTTACAAAATATATTAATAAAATGAAAGAACATGCTATGTTTACAAATACACTATGTGTTAATGATCATGTCAGATGAGCAATGGTGATGACTAAGAATGTAATCAACAGGCCAGTACATTCTAATGACCATAATAAATATCACTTGGTTTGTTCATCTCTCATCAGTACAACACATCAAACTGATAATAAGAAATCAATAAATAATGAATAAAATTATTAACAGCAAATATAACCTCAAAAATGTCTGATAAATACATTAAACATAATCTGTTTCACAAACTACAAGCAGGATTAATATTATATTATAAATAAGTAAAATTTTATATAAATATAATAAATACAGTAATTTTGCTTCCCTATCACACTGTATACAGGGGTTTGTAAATGTAACAAATAAATGTACTGGGCTGGACTGGCAACATGAGTTAGTTATGAGAGTATTTGCAAACTGCAGTCACTCAACAGAGAGAAAATGTTAAATAAATCTAAGATTACTTACAAAATATTCCTCTAATATGTGAATGTCATTGTTGTTATGTTGTTTTATACAAGATATGATCATACTAACAGATTAGGTAAAAGATCTAAGGATGATATTTTTACTGTGGACAGTACTGAACAACACACCACCACCACCAGATACATAAAGACATCTTCAGCCTTAGTAATATCACCTCAAAAGAGGCAACATTTGCAAGCAGATTTTTTGGTTATATTCTACTGTAACAAATAATCCTAGAAGTCCATTTACATGTTTTCTACTCCAGCTCTGTTTTTTAGTTACAGTTTGGTTTGTACATTCTGAACAGTTACTGTCATGAGACACTTCCTTCTTTCATGAAGGCAGAGACACAAATAGCCTCCAAAATGTGACATCCATACTATGATGATATCAAACCACTGTTACAAATCTGCAGATCATTTTACCCATCTACTTCTCAAGTCTGAATAGTCATTAGGGTAAACAAAGCATGAGGAAATTTTATTACAAAGGTGAGTTTTGTAGTGGGCCATTTTACAGAAACAGTATGACATTCTATGACGGGATATGGAAGCTATCAATCTTAAACCTAATGAAATCAGAGGATTCAGATATATATGTGGAATAATTTTTATGGAACATTAGTCTACAAATTTACTTGTGGGGCAGAAAAATTAATCTTCATGACCACACCTGACTCACAGATCATAGCTGGTTCATCCTTGTTATAATCATTCTAAACTGTGCTTGTGGTTTCTCAGATAAAAGTAAAAGCCTCACAGACAGTAATTATTAGCAAATACAAATGTTTACTTATTTAGACTTTCTTCTCAGTTGTAACAGTGTGTACAACATCACAATCCATAAGACCACAGTCTAAACTCTCACCTCCACGAAAACCTCAACTCTCATAAAGTTACTTATTCCCAGTCTTCCTCTAAGATTAATGTAACCAAATTCAATGTTGCCAGTTCACCCAATATTTTATATTCACACAACCTTCCTTTTATAATTATCAACCCCGTTCAATGGAATACCTTTATATGCACATTATTGAGACTATGTGTACTTACTAATTGTAAAGTAAATACCTAACACAATAACAATGACAAATACAACAGCAACACCAAACAAGATAAGGCGATGCTGCATAGACCGCATGATCATTCCACTGATGATCCTTGAACTCCGCCCCAACTCAGCATCTGTTTCTCGCAACTGAAATCAAAAGGAACTGAAGTGAAAAATACTTGAGAGGAGAGAACAGCATTTTTCACCAGAAGGACATTGTTCCTCCTTGTCCACTCACTTTCCACTTCAAGCTCCTTTTCACAGCTTTTTAAGGTATACATCTGAGAATAAACAAAAATGAACTTGAAATTTCGAGAGGAATTAATTCAAGAAATGTTAGTTATGATTCAGTTTAGATGATGTTATAAGATTGTCTTCTTTCCAAAACATTGAAAATATTAAGATGGAATGACCAAAAGTGGAACTAGTGAATACAGCCCAAAGTAACATGCAATTATAATCCTACAGGATGAAGAGAAATAGGAACATCGAGGAAATCGGAGGATTTAAAGGCAAGTACATGCATTAAAATGCTTACTTCATTAAAGAAAATAGGAATTTTATGACATATATTGCTCGTCTAATGTAGTTAAGGTAGTCATATAAAGAAAGATACAACGAGTTAGATATGTGACATAGATGGGAAGGTAAGAAGGATTTTGGTTAGGAAACTATTGAAACATATCAGAAAAGATGGAAGAATAACATCGTGACACATTTTAGATATAGAGATAGTAAGGAAGTGAACTGGAACTGAATCATGGGCACTGTTAAAGGTATTAGCAATGTTAAAACCTTCACATTCTATTATCAGTGGCTTTGAGACGCAACCAAACTCCATCCAATGGGAACTAGATCCAAACCCACAACACATTGCCATAGACAATATGGCAACTGTACTAGGAAAACAAACTGCTTACCCTACTTCGTGATTTCTGAATTGTTTCACGTTGAGCATGTAAATCTTGCAAAACTTGAGATCCAATTTCTTCTGTCTCCAGAATAATTCTATAACCTGTGGTAAGATGATGCCCTGTTCGTTCTAGTCTCTCTGAGTTATCAAGAAGTCTTAACTTCTGTTCTTCATTCATGCTTACTCCACTCCCATATACATCATCTTGCCCAAACAATCCTAAAATAAATAATTCATTAATTAATTATGGAAGAATGTTTGGAATATATAATTTTATATCCCAACAACAGAATAAATACACACCATCTTGAAATGGAGGACTCCGAACTTTCATAAACTCTTGGCTAAGCCTACCAAGTTCCGCCCTATAACTGTCAACTCGCGTCCTCAAACGTGGACGAGTAGAAGCTTCAACTTCTCGAACCTCCAGTTCCATCTGCTCAAGCTTGGTGTACAGAATAAAGCAAAGCAGTATGTGATAAACAATGAAGGTAAAAAAACAAAATAAACTTTTTGATAATAACTGCAAGTATCTGCACTCTGTATCTTTTATAGTTGCGCAGGCTACAGAACTGATTTCCTTGAACCATATGAAGTGAGCTTCAATCATACAGCTTCAGTGCCACAAACATTTACCTCCTGGGCATGTTTTTGTCCTCTCAGTCACTAACAATGACATGAAAAAGTACTAGTGGATGCACTATAAACAATCTCAGACATAAATTACAGCACATATAAAATACAATATGTTCCCTTATACATAATGACTAAAGACAGGTCACATTTCATTAAAAGCTTTGATTATTGCAAATGCTCTTCCAATGCAATCCAATACAATTCTGGGCAGAAGATGTAGGCCATACATTCCTCCAAAATGATAACCACCTACAAGACTACCAAAAAAACATAACCAACATCTTAACCACTGTGAAAACTTCATACCTCGGACCAATTCAGTACTTCAATTCTGGGGTAATCATTAATATGTGGGGCTATTAACTACAGAAGAAGGCTTACAAATCTCTTACTACAAATTACTGCTGAAAGCAATATTATTCTTTTATTTACACTCACAAGTTCCTGGGCCTCCTCCATATGTCTTTCAACGTCAAGAACAAGGGTCTTCTTGTCAGCTACGGCAAGAACAAAATAAAGATGCATTTATACATTCCTTAACATAATTTAAAGTAATAAATCTGCATTTAATATTATACTTAGTAAGCTTCTATGATCGTCAGGACGAAATAACATCAATAATATGATCAGACTTAAATATTGTGGCATTTTTGCCACATACCCCCATGTGATGAAGTTAGTTTCCCGATTTTGGCAGTTATATCAGCCGTCAAAACTGCATATTGTTGCTCATAGTTCTCCATTAACGACGCCATCTTTTCTACGAGCGCCTGATAATACCACCGAAGTCGTGTCTGTCGATAAAGGATAATTGAAATGTTTTTAAACAAATCCTCTCGTAATACCGGTTTTGGTATACATTTGTCAGAGCTCATTGGCCTAAATTTCATTTTGTTCACTGTTATAAAAGACATCATACTCTGTCTTACTGTTCAATTTATGAAAGATGTGTGTAATTTGAAGGTTTATGTATGGAGATTGTGGATTAAAATTGAAATCCATTTGTGTGAAAGATACCACAACTTTAATTTTTAATCAAGGGATTCAATGACCGACAGCATATGGTAAAAGAATGTAATATGCACTTTGCGCAAAACGTTTCATGATGATGCTTGATACGGAACGCGTTCAGAATGCGCTTTCAGGTTATCTGTGCTGTAGGTAGCTTTCCATTCAGAAAAGTATATCGCAATTTTTATAAACAGTTGAAATAGAATGGAAGTATTAAGTGGTGTAATGAATTGCTTCAGTGACTGTTTATTTAATATGACGCTCGGTTTAACTCTGTAAATTCTTTTTGAGTTTAAAAGCATGAAAGATAACGTTTGGAAATGAACACATGTTAATTGAATACCGATTAATGGATCACGTAACTTATAGTCTTCGCCCTGTGACCTCTTTGTAGAAAGACGTGATAAGATTGATTCGGTTGGATTTTTTGTCATCGATTAAGGCGGTAGTTGGCTTTATTTCTAGTTGCAGGAAGACATATACTTCTGATTACAAGGTGCGATGTAATCTCATGCCATCAAAGTATTTAGTTTTACTTCGGAAGTGGTAAAGCATCTTTCTGGTCGTGGTATATTTTGGGTGACCGGCGTTAGATAAGGTAATGAACAACAAAAGCATGGAGGCATCATAACCCAAATCTATTAAAGAAAGTAATAAAGTAAGTTTTAACTTCAACCTCTGTAGGAATTCCTAATGGCTATGATTGTGAGCTTAGTGCAGTAGTTTCACGACAAAGAGTTGGATTTAACTTTGTATTGGCTGTTCTTCAGGGTAGACGACTTGTACCCTGCCCAGAAGATGGAATCAGTATGTACCTCTGAAGGTCACTTACGTGGTGTCATAAAGCGGAAAACCAGCTTAATTTACCAACCTGAGAATTATTTGTTGGATACCTACACGTCTCCCTAGAGCAGGGACTATGTGTATGCTAGCAACTACCTTGATGCTCTTAGAAGAGTTGTGAGGTGCCCATGAGGATTTTAGAATATTCAAAAGTTGTTTTAAATGTTGAATTTTTCAGTTGCCAAATAATTTTTTCCACCCTTGCAATTTTTTTTGTCAGTTGACATAGTAGATGTGAGAAAATGATAATGTAATTATTTCCACCTTTTTTTTTCATATAACTTTGTATGGTCATACGCTTCTAATTGTCTGTGGTCCAAAGAAGATACAAACTTTTATTAGTCACATACAAGTAGATGGGTTTACTTGTTGAGTCTTATGTATACAGTTGATTAGCATTAATAAATCAAGAAACAAGTAACTTCTCTTTCTGGATAATATGTAGATTTCTGCACTACCAATAAAATGCACTATCTCTGCACCACTCGCAGCTGTCATTGGGTTGAATGGTCAGATGATGTCTTGCCTTTGGAATTGATGTGTAATAACTAAATACAAAATTGGAAGTAGATGTATATTGCTCATGAGCAGAAACCTGGATAAATGTATATATTCTCTCTAATTGTAGAATTACAACAATGTCTGATGAAATTGGAACTATGTCTGCATCACCAAGTACCGCAGTTCACAGTCGTCATCCACGACGCATCAAGTTGAATGAACAGCAGCTTGAATCAATAAGCCATGATGATTTATTGAGAAATTGGCGAGAACTGGATTCCTATGTGGACATGCTTGAATCCCAAACTTCAAATCAAGAAGGTAGTTCTGTGTTCTCATTGTTGTATGTAGATACAGGTTGAAATTAAAATATATGGTAAGGGAATGTAATATATGAATCAAGGTTCTAGAATAATGGACAAAAGATTTGCACACAGTGGAATTAAATGCTTTTAAATTCTGTCAGAAAATTGATGTCCTAAGAAAAAAGTTAAGTGTGCTGAGTGTTTGAGTTAGGATCCGTATTTTTGTAAATGTTGTGTATTCTCTATAATTTCAGAGTAAGCATATAATATGTTTTGCTGTATTTATTAATAATGATATTTTTCATTGTGGCTTCATTTGCAAGTATTCTGGTCTGTTGCTGAAATGGGACAGAATGATTTCTTTCAGAAGCGTAATGTAATCAGTGTGTCCACTGTTTTTTGTTCGAAATTGATTACTAGACACAAATAGCCAAACAAAATAATTCAGCTGATAGTATGTTACAAAGAAAAGATTGTTAATTTTAAGAGTTGTTTTCTTGTAATCTTTGTTTTTAAATTGTTATGTAAGTAAGTCATAAGTAATTTTATTTGTTATGCAGAGTCAGCAAAGTCACCGTATGGGTAGCTATATGCTGATGATAAATGATGAGATGTTCTTATTTTTTTTATGGAGAAAAGGGACATTGAAGGAGTTTTGGAACAACTTCATTATTGCATACTTTACTTGTTATGCCAAACTGCAGATAATGGTTACTGTGTCCTTTTAAATTTTGCTTATTTCCAAATTGTGCTGATCTCTTTGTGTTTTACACTTGTGTTATGAGAAGAACTTATTTTAATTTGCTAGGCTTACTGTGTGTCTATACACATCTGTCAGCTGCACTCTGTTCATAGAGATTTTGATTATATTTGTCCTCAATAAAATATAAGTTAAAAATGATGCCCTTAGACTTTCTTGTTAAGTTATGGCTGTCATGTGGCCTGAACAGATGTTAACCATACAAGCAGCAGTACAAATTCCTATAATAGCAGGCAAAATCAGCTTTCTCAGGAAATATAACTAAAAATACTAAACTGAAAAATTAGCAGTTACCCTTTCAGAACAGTATTGACTGTTGAAAAATTGTCAGATGCCATTCCTTTGATTAGCTAATGTAATATTCACCACACTAAGAAATATTTGAAATAAAACTTGTAGAATACAGTGAGATATACGTTGTAAATTTGTATGCTAGTATCTCTTTTTTGAGACAGAATCGATGGATTCCTAAAGTGAAACTCTTCAATAACAGAACTATAATACAGTTACTAATTTCACCTGAGTTTTGCTTTACAGCATGTACATTCTTAATTTAAATGATATCATATTTAAAGGAAGGCTATCTTCAGTCATATTTGGACAGCTGGAATCTGCAGTTCAGATAATAAGAATGAGTGCATAGAGAGAGTTATCATCACAAGCTTCTTTTTTATAGTTGTCTTTTACTTCTTAGGGAATTGTCTTTTTAACTGCTAATCATTTTTAGTTCTTGCATTTATCTTGGTGTTGAAAAGGTAATTGTAAGCTACATAAAGAGCTTACAAGTCATGGGTATGATTTTCCTACACTTCTGCCATCAGGTAGGAAGTAACTGTGAGACAATGTGTAAGGTATGCATTGGTATTAAGGCCAGTTTGTACACATTCCCTGTTATCAGAATGGTGGTATATCCCACAGTTCAGTATGTAAGATTTGTTATTCCTAGTATATGCTTTGCCAAGATAAAAATCTAAATATTTAAGTAAATATTGATGTGATTTAAAGTTGTTCAAGTTGGGATGCAATTGTCTTATGCTGTAAAGACAGTTACATGAGCTGAACAATGAAGTATATTCTGTCCTAGTTGTTAATTTGACAACTGAAGGAAAGAACATGCACACATACAAACTAAATTTAATTGATAATAGAATATTTAAAATAATGCAATCCTGTCACAATGAGTACAGATTGTGTCATGTAAGTAGAATAAATACTTTTATGTTATTTGCAACATGGCAGTATTATAATCTTTCATTCCCAGACTTTGTCACAAGAATGCAGAATTTAAGGTTGTGGGGTTGTGTATTGTACTTGGATATGGGCTTGCAGTGACTAGGATTCGCATGAACATATTTTTGAAATGGGTTAGCAAACAAAACAAAGTCTGAACTTTGCTAGAGCTATGTTGGTTAAGTCTCACATGTGGAAAGCTACCAGTAACAAATGGTTATGTATGTCAGTTATAACAAGAAATATTTGTTCCTTTGTTCCTGGGTGCTTGTTTCAGCAGATTGTCTCAAGTATGTCAGTGGAACTGTGTGATGATGCCAAGGTATCTCGAGCTTAAAGCGGCCGTCCTTTACTTCCTGTCCTTTATACCTGATTTGTCAGAGATTTCTCAACTCCTACTTGCCATCTTCTTGCATAGTTTATGCTACATGTGCCTTACAAAAGGTCTTGGAGTTCGAGATCCATTGGTTAGAAACTAGTTTATTCAAATATTATGTTCATTTTGTGAATGATTAAGTGTTCCACAGTGTTACTTCATATAGTTTAAATAATTTAGTGAATGCTGCAAATGCCAGATAGAAATCTGTTCATCTGTTGAAGTGACAGTGAATAGTCTACCGTGTTTACAAAGGAATGGAAGTGGTGTATCCTCCATGTGTTGCAGCAGCATTCTCATTCATGTAAATGCCAACGGTTCCCATTTGGTTTGGAGTGTTTCATTTTGCGCACATTTTAGTGTTCTCTCTAGTTTGTGTTAACATCTATAAGGTTTGGTGTGTTCAGTGTCCATCTGAAATCAAGTGCACAGAAAGTGCTTCATTAAGTGGCCTATGTCCATATGGACATACCGATTTTTTAATGATGTGCAGGAGCAGCTGAAAGGAATGAACAGTGAAGAAGTGTATGGTAAGGGTTTTGCAAAAATATAATAGGGCCAGTGTGCTTTTCAAGATCAAGGCATTTGAAGTTCACTCCTGTTTGCCCATTATTGGCCCACTTCCCCCCTCAGCCATGGAATCAATGATTGATATAATCGCGGTGGAGGATGCAAGTATTCAACCTACATCTAACATGAGAAAGTAAATAGCCTCAGCGCAGTGACCTGCTCCACGTATAAGGCGTCTTATACAACACAACCTAAATGGCAGAACTTAAGTTAACAAAATACTTGCCTTGGCTGTTGCTCCATCTGACTGAAGTAGGTGTGGCATATTGAAATATGAAAGACCAGAAAGGAAAATGTCAGCAACAGCTCAAAGGGAAGTGGTGGGAGACAGGAGGAAGTAAGTGCAGTTGTGTTAACATAATGTGTGTATAATTCCCCTCATACCTGGGCACCAGTAGTTCTCAACACATTTCTGTCATGTTTTGTGTTCTGTGATTTGGTTTCATCCTCACTTGAGTCCTTTGTTTCTTCCTGGGAACCCTGTCGGTCAGTATGGGTGAAAGTTCTTGTGATGAAGTTGTTGCCCCAGACTGAAACTATACACTATTTTCTGATATATCAGAATTAAAAGTTGAGCAAAGACAATTTTATGAAGTGCAGCCAGTAACCAGAGTTTTTTAACAGTAGGATATTTTTCTGTTTTAAAATTGTCTCACAAACAGATAAACATGCTTTATTCTCTAGGTGGTTCACATTTGTTATCACCTCTAAAACATTGTTTGATGACTATTAATATTAATAGAATACTGTGCACAGAGTTAAGGCATACTTGTTTTCTGTGTATCTAATTCATAAGTATTTTCATCCTGGAGACAATTGCAGACTGAGTGAATGCTAAATATCATCTGTATTGTGAAAATAAATTGATAGAAAAGTGTAATTGGAGATTGCCAGCTGGTTAAATAGAAATGTTTGGAAAGATGTATGATGAGCACAGTGCCTCAGTCAGCCACATTCATTTCTCACCAAGAGGTTTTTTTGAGCAAAATAATGCTTGAAATTAAGTCACTCCACCACCCTTCACTTGTTACACTATGTAACAATTTTCTTTGCATTAGTTAGTTTCTAAAAAATCATGTAATAGAAATGTGGACTTCAGAATACAAATCCAAAATAACCATTGAAGGGAGAGTTTACTTGTAAATACAAGTAGGGATTTTCATATTATTATAAGTCAGTACTATTAATTTGTCTTTTTATTATTTTATTTACAAACCTAGCTTTATCACAGATGAAAAGTCTTGTACACTGTAAACAGAAATGTCTGTTACCTGTGTTTGTAGCACATTCTTTATGTTTGATATATTTTGTAATATACTATATGTAAAAAACTAGTCTTGAGCCCATCATTTGATCATATTTCATAATGATGTTTACAAGAAGAATAATACTAATCTGTCGATGACTCGAAAACTAATAGTGATTACACATTGTACTGCCATAAGTATTTTCGCTATATGTACCATGGGGATTTTTTAAATCTGACTCTTAGTTGTGACATAATGAGCAACATAATGCACTTCTGTTATAAGTGTATTACCATGTTTAATTCACTTAATTACTTTCAAGAGTTAAGGGCTTAATTGGTGTTTACATAGGGTTATCTGTATGAATCCTTTGACAAATTGCAATGAAACCAATTGTAGGACACTTGTTAGATGTACAATTGTCATGTAGAAGTTTAATTTACTCTAGGTTCTTTCATTTTAATGGTCACTTCTCTTAAGGGCCTCAGTGAACTTTCACTTCTTTTTAGTCCTTAGACATATTTTGACAAAATTGTTGTACGTGCATTATCACGTGTATGTTTAATTCACTTAAATATCTAGATAGCAGGCAGATGTGTGGATGAAATGTACCCTTTTAATGACACCATAAACATGCATGCCCATTATTTTTAGAAACTTTTTCAACCCAGTGGTAGGCCTTTGTGATCTTTCTGATGTAGTTTTCTATTACAGAACAGTGGTTTTTTTGAGTAACTCAATAATTATAATTTTCTGAAGGAAGACTTAGTTCTGTTGAGTTAGATTTTTCTTTTATGACTGAACTAATCTGGACTTTTAATAGCATTGCATTCAGTCTGCATTTGTGTTGAGGCTCACATGAACTGGTTGCACCATTTTTCAAATGCTTTGTGTTTCTTACCTCCCTGGTATGTGTGATTTTAACTTACCATAAAATAACTGGATGTTCTAGAGAATACTGCTGCAGACATCGGAGAATATCTGTTGGCTACATATGCTGTTGACTACATGTTGTGCCCTGTAGTAGATATTTTGTAATGTCATTTGTCAGCTAATGCAGTACTTTCTTAATTAACAGGTTATGTTTTGAGTTTGATGTATATTTGTTCCACTGTATATTCTTCATTTGATATTTACAGCTGAATTGGCAAATCTTCGAGATTCTGAAGATCGAATGCGACAACAACATCTGGAATCCACTCAGCGGGAGAAAGTTCTTGTCCGTCGGCTGGCCACCAAGGAACAAGAAATGCAGGAATATGCAGTATGTTTTGTAATGTGATGTATACTATGAAAAGTTTCATATCACTACTTTTACTTTGAGTGGTCCCACTTGTGCTAAGTTAATTTTCTAACATTGGGCTGTAACATAATTACATTCCGTCTGTGTGATGGTAATAAAAGCAATTCATAATTCTCTCATTTGGGTGAGTTTTAAATTTTGCTTTAATAGTAACATATTTTCTTAGTTTATCGTTATTGCCCAGGTTGCCCCAGTTCCTCTGTCTAGTTTGCTCCAAAAATCTATTAACAGTTTTACACATTGTATTAAACAGGCTCAGGAATGTTTTCCAGTGGCAGGCTTTGTTATTAGTGATCTTGGGAGTTCATGTTAAATCCCTAGTGTGTGTGCTGTGGATACACTGTAATAGTTATTTTACTGCTATTATAAGGTTTTTCTGTGGAAACTTTTATCCTTTTCCTCTGTAGAATCAAATAGCTGAGTTAAAGGCGGCACAAGCCCCGGGAGCAGCGGCACTTCGCTCAGCCCTGCTTGATCCTGCAGTGAACCTGTTGCTTCAACGTCTGAGGCAGGAACTGCTTGCAACTAGGGCACGTCTTGAAGAGACTCAGAATGAGCTGAGTGCATGGAAGTTCACACCCGACAGGTAACCTATCCAGCAAGTCATTAGTTATGAAACACGAACATTAACATAGCCAGCCTTTTAAAAGAGAATGAAAGACAGTATTTGCCATACTGTGGTTCATGAGTGCCTTAACCCCTTTGCTTACCACACAATAAAGAGCAGAGATTATCTGTTAATTTTGTTATATTTATTATGTGTGATGTTACATAACAAAGTTTTGTGATTTACACAAGTCAGTATTGTTAGCATAGTGAAATCTGCAAGACTATATAATAGCCTGGACATATAGCTCGGATTGTGGAGACTATTAATGTATATAGAAATTTGTTGGGAAAGCTCATGGAAGATAAACATGTATGTGGACATTAGGAAAATATGTTGTGAGGATAGGAGGTGGATGGAAACTGGATCGCATCCAGTGGTGTTCTTTGGGATTAGCAGTGTTGAATGTTTGGGTTCTGCTACCAGTGTTGGAATCTCATTACAAAAGACCATTTGTTCGGCCTGTATTTATATGGGAGGATAGTATTAAAATGGATCTTAGGATGATTGGTTGTAAAAATGGGGATGAACCTGCAGTTCATAACAAGAGTTTCTTGATGAGTATAATAATTATGTTATAATATATCAAAATCTTTGTAAAGGAACAAGCCATTTTATGATTGTTTTGTTATTGGTTGCATTGGTTTTGACAGCTGAAAAACAGCATGTTAAATGTAAAAAGTGTCAGTCACAGAATGTTTTTGGGAACAAGTAAAGGTAAAGTAGGAAAATATTGTTTCTTAGATTCAGATAAATATATTACCTTTATATGTAGCATATAGGGAGGTTTTCTGAACAGTATTTTCTATATTTTTTCAAAGCAACACAGGCAAAAGGCTGATGGCAAAGTGTCGCCTGTTGTACCAGGAAAATGAGGAATTAGGTCGCATGATCAATAGTGGTCGACTGGCCAAACTGGAAGGTGATTTGGCTCTTCAGAAAAGTTTCAGTGAAGAAGTGAAGAAATCACAGTCAGGTAAATATTCTGTTACTGCCCTTAGCTGGTTAGTATTCATAATAAAGTTGTCTTACAGTGTAAATGCAAGTATAAGAAACATTGAATTAAACTTTACAAGGAACATAATGTTCATCATTGCTGTTATATTGAAAAATTAGAAAGCAAATAACTTACACATTTGCAAATGATGTAGTAATGTAAGAGTTATCATTTGTCATATATTATACACAGATATATATTTTCAGAATTGGATGAATTCTTGCAAGATCTAGATGAAGATGTAGAAGGGATGCAAAGTACCATCTATTACCTGCAACAGGAACTCCGTAAGGCAAAAGATACAGTGTCTAGTCTTCAGCAAGAAAACACATTGCTAAAGAATGGGAATGCATTGACAGTGTCTGAGCATCATGAAGGTGTGGCAGATAGTGAGGTGGGGAGGGAGGCCAGACCACGGACTCCAGCAATATGCCATAACGGAGTACAGCTTAAGGGGGAGAAAGACTTGGGAGGGTGGGAAGAACGAACTTCAAACCAAGCACAATGTAGAGACCCCAACGTGTCATCAGTACAGTCCCCCCTGTGCAGTCCATTGAGTCCTACCACAGAGCAATCTGTTGTTGATGTTGCCAGTGCACATAAAGAAATGATCCATTGTCCT